TATCTGTTCTTCTAATTGCTTATATTTTATTGTCTGTTACTGCTTCAGTTAGAAATATCGATCAGTCCGAATAATGAAATATATTTCTTCCTGGTTTTATAGCTAGATTTGCTTTAATTATATATTTTAATTGTTTAGTACTTGAGCTCTAAGATATAGGGCTTAAATCTTGGTTTCGAACTTAAATATTAAAAGATATATGCACACATCGTGCAACATGTTCGTAAAACGGCTAAATCTACAGATACTACATTTTCATCAGTAGTCCCACCAAAACTGACTTCATCAACTGATTTTTACAATTCAGAATATCATCACCGTTAAAAAAGGACTGTTTTCCAAGCGACAGGAATAATTCATTTTCCACTGCAGCAATCTTCTATTTTACAATGCACTGCTTTAACAGAAATGCGAGGACTTTCAGAAATTCCTGAGAAACAATTAACTGGGTGATAACCATCAGACAGATATCTGAAATCACTTTTCTTCTTAAAGGCTCGGAACCTGCTTTTTTCCATTTGCTGAATACTTTATCAACTATTCAATTTCTATCAGCCAAACGAATCAAATTCCATTCTAATCAGCTAATTATAGCTTAATGCTTCAAAAGTAGTCAAGTGGAGAGCAAGGTAGAAGAGGTCCAAAGAATCACAAGGTAACGAAGAACCGCAAGGAACAAAAGAACCAGTGGGTGATGGTGAGTAGGAACGAAATATGAAATTTCGCGTAAATAACGAAATAACAGCTTCCCATTCAGTAATATCAGTTCTCTCATTTTGGTTATTCTTTGCATTAATTATCGTTGATGTGTCATTCCTATTATATCTCAAAATTCTCAGGCCTGAAATTATTACCAATCTTAACAGAATTTATTATAAATGTTATGGATGACAGTCAGTAATGTTTACTATAGACTTATTTCAAATGAAGCACTCTGCTGAGGGTGCATTGCATGTAAGTAAAAGGAAATGTTAAATGAAATAATTGAAGTAAAGAAAGAATGCATGAAAATGAAGTAAGAAAATTAAATGAAAGGAAAACTTTAATAACGTTGAAGACTGCGTACATCGAAAAATTGAATAATTGTCAACTGATGGCAGATGTTATTTGGTCACAAGAATAAATAACAGGATCGGTTATTTGGCACCAACTCTGATTAATGAAATCACAATTGGAATAATTGAAGACTGTGACCAAATAGCTGACTAACAGAAATGATAAAAAATTGTTTAGAATAAATACATTATAAATCGATCAGAGGGTTGAAATTTTAATTATCATTCCGTCGTGTAGAAATTGGTATTATTATATTTTTATTAGCAAATAAACGAACTGATTGCATTATTGATTGAATGTAAAGAAAACGTTGTATTTAAATATTAACATTTAATATTTTTCTATCACTCCAAACTGACTCTCTCATTTTGCCTTACTCTTCCATTCTTTTTTCAGTTCAAAAATTTTTGTATCTAAAATAGTTGAACTGTTGCGATTGAAATATGATGAATGAACTGTAACCAAATGATTAGAATATACAAATTCTATTTGAAAATGACATTGTCGGTATGTGTGAAAAGATTTTGAAATTTAAATTGGAATTTAATTCAACAAAATTTCCGCTTTTTTTCACCTCTGCTTTTCGAAGGCTCAGAATCTGTTTTTTTTTTCCATCTGCCGAATTCTTTGTCAACTATTGAATTTCTTCTATCAGTCAATTGAACCATCCTTCCGTTTAAGAAACGATCCGTTTAGCTTTCACAGATATTTTGTTGCATTCGATATGACCATTTAACAAAGAGTTCGAAATGCTCTTTGTTTTATGAATTCTGGAAAGATTCATATCAGGCATCCAAATTTCCAATTTAAATGGAAAATTTCTCTGTGGAGTTCGCTTCATTAAATTTCAGTTTAAACCACCAATTCTACAATATCACAGTTCATTAGATAAAATTCTTATACCAATCAATTACTTTTCTCTTATATATTTCTAAATTATTAATTTTTAAACGGGATATTAAATTCTGATCTATAAGCTGTGATTTGCTCATAGATAAAGAAATGATCTCATCCCACAAAAATTTTATTTGTGAAATGATCTTTTAAAAAGACTTAAATGTCACACCTTTTTTCCTTTATTTTTTACAAATTTTGAAATGATCGGGAATTTGAGGGTTTGAAAAGTTTTTAGCTGTTGTGCATATATAATCAATTTCTGGTTATCAATGTGAATGTATCTTTTCAATACTTTCCTACTTGTTATTTGCGCTGTTATCGTAGTCGAAATAAGTTCCTTAATATATTGTTTCGTGTAAAAGTGCACATTTTAAGGCAGCCTCAAGGTACGTGTAAATTTTATTCTCAGACCTGCGTTCCATAAACGTCCCAGAACTGCCAGGACTGTCAGGTCCACCAAGCGAACAAGTTTGAAGGGAGATCCAGGTGGGTGGGCAAAGTAAACTAAGAACTGAAGGACCACAAGGAGTTCAAGACTCATTTGGAGTGACTGGAAATAATGGTGTGCCAGGAGTGGAAGGAGATGCAGGAGAGCGAAGGCAGAAAGGGAGAGTTGGAATGTTAGGCTTGAGAGAAGCAAATGGCGGAAGATAGAAGCACTAGACTAAGAAATATATATGGTATATACTGAAATGGTCAGCGATATCGGCTATGCTTTATTTCAGTTGTTTTGTGTGCAACAGTCTATCATAAGCCTGAAATTATTGTCAATTTGCAAAATTTGTTTACAAATACTGGGTTGTAAAAATTGATATTTATGAAGTAAAGTTTTGCATGTTTTCGAATCACAATATTAGTAACAAATTTGAATAGTAAAAAACTTCTCGAAACTTGACTGATTTTGAAATAAAATATTTTGCTTCCCTTATATATAGTAGTATCATACTTAGGCAGAAATTGCATAATATTAATGGTGAATATGTCAATACAAAGTTTCCGAGCTAATACGAAAGCAAATTATAATGTAATCAATTTGTCTGTTTGCTCATTAAAATATAATTATAATACCAATTTCCGCATGGCGGAATTATAATAACAATATCAATTCCTTGATCGATTCATGATATACTCAATAAATTTAACTTTTTATTCTTGTTATAAAGAATCGCCTATCTTTTCTAACGATTAGCTATCTTTCTTCTTTCTATTCTACAATCTTCAATTATTCCAATTCTAATCGCATTAGTCATTCTATCAGCGCTTCTGACAAGATGATCAGTATTAATTTGAGATTAAATGACATCTGCCATCATTTGACAATCATCCATTTTTTTAATTGTGTTATCGATATACCTTGAAATTTTGGTATAGTTTTAACGAATTCATTTCGCTTGATATTCAGTCCTTCGACTTCATTTTCACGTATTCTTTTTTATTCCAATCCACTTAATTGGCCCTTCTCTCTTTCATTTAACATCCATCTTTCAATGGCCTTAGTTCTTCCTCAAACACTGTTTTACTTGAAGTAAACCGTGAGGCCAATTTTACTGACCATTATTTATTCCTCTTGTAATATTCCTCCCTTAGTTAATCACACTATTTCAAATCAATTTATGAGAACTGCACACGAATCTTGGATCGATTGGATCAGTTCCCCTGGTTGTCGTTCAGCTTCTTTTACTCCTCGTTCTCCTCGTCTTCCTTCCTGTCCATTTCGCTCGGTAACCCTGGTGCTCCTTTTAATGTTTGTTTTGGTAATAGTCCGCATGCATGAAAATTAAATTCATACGCTTCTCTACTTCGCAAATCGTCTCAAGCTTAAATTTCTTACTAAGAAACAATATATTACGGAAGTTACTTGAGCTGCGGAAACAGACAATCCAGGCAATCCCACATCTCCGTCATCTCCTGGGCCTTCAATTCCAGGCATTCAGGGTGGACTTTCGTCTCCAAGTAGACTTTAGTCTGAAGAAAGTCTAAAGAGTCTAAGGACTTAAATGTCATGGGGCATATGACCAATTTCAGATTGTTGGTATCAAAGAATATTTTACAATATTTCCTTATCATATCATTCCTAACTAGCTGTCTGCACTATTTTCGTGGTCCAAGTAAGTTCTTCAATGAGGTTTTCTCCAGTTAGAAGTGATATAAATTAAAAGAAACTTCCAAAAAATGAAAAAATTTTGTTTTTAAGCTTGTTCATCATAGAACCGAGAGGACCAGATGGAAATAAAGGGATAAACGGACCGGAAGGGAGGACCAGTTAAGTGAGGAAAGGATAGAAAGGTAGACCTGGGCCGAGAGGATTGATGGGACCGCAGCGTGAACGGATCGAAAGGAATAGAGGGACCAAAAGGAGCAAAAGGGCCAACAGAATGTGACAGGCAATAAACATGTCACTTCTTTTTCACGATACCTTCTTTTCTTTTGTCGAAATTAATGAAAGTCATTTAATAAAGTTATTTAATCCCACTAAAGTCATTTAATCTCAAATTAATACCACTACTGATCATCCTATCACTAGCGCTGGCAGAATAACTTAGAATTGGAACAATTGAAGATTGTAGAGAAGGATAGGTAATCGTTAGAAAAGATAGGCGATCCCTTATAATAAGAACAAAAAGTTAAATTTATTGAGTATATCATAAGTCGATCATAATTCGCCATGCGGAAATTGGTATTATAATTATATTTTAATGAGCAAACAGACAAATTGATTACATTATAATTTGCTTTCGTATTAATTAACGGAAAAGTAGTACTGACATATTAGCCATTAATACTATGCAATTTCTGCCTGATTATAATACTACTGTACATAGCGGAAGTAAAATATTTTATTTCAAAATCAGTATATCCCATATATATTCTATCTTCCTCCATTTGCTCCTCTCAAACCTTGCATTCCAACTCTTCCTTTCTCCCCTCGTTTTCCTACATCTCCTTCCACTCCTGGCATACCGTTACTCCCAGGCACTCCAGGCGGGCCTTGAACTCCTTGTGGTCCTTCAGTTCCTGGTTCACCGCGCCCACCTGGATCTCCCTTCAAACCTGTTCGTCCTGGGAGACCTGGCGGTCCTGGTAATCCTGGGGCGTTTGATGGAATGCAAGTCTGAAATAAAATTTACACGCACACGGAAGGCTGCCTAAAAATGTGCTCTTTTTCACCACAAAACAATATATTAGGGAACTTACTTCGACTACGATAACGGCGAAAATAACCAATAGGGAAGTACTGAAAAGATGCATTGGTATTGATAACCTGAAATTGATTATGTATGCATAACGGCTGAAAAATTTTGAAATCCTCACATTCTCGATCATTTCAAAATTTGTAAAAAATGAAGGAAAAAGTGCCAGGCAAGATATTTAAGTCCTTTTAGAAAATGGTTTCACGAAAAAAATTTTTGTAGAATGAGATCATTTTCTTATGTGTGGACAAATCTTAGCTAGTAAATCAGAATTTAATGTTCCATTTAAAAAAATTATACTTTGAAATATATGAGAAAACGAGTGATTGAATAATATAAAGATTTTTGTCTAGTAAACTTTGATATTGTAGGACTGAAGGTTTAAACTGAAATTTAATGAATCAAATTCCGCAGAGAAATTTTCTATTTATATTGGAAATTTGGATGCCTGATATGAATCTTTCCGGAATACATAAAACAAAAAGCATTTCAAGAATTCTTTGTCGAGTGGTCATACCGAATGCAACAAATTGCAACATCAAGCGGTGATATATCTATAAAAGCTAAACGGACCTTTTCATGAGCGGAAGGAAGAATCGGTTGACTGATAGAAGTTCAATGATTTACAGAGAATTAGGCAAATGGAAGACAACAGAACTCATTCGATATAATAAGAAAGAACACTGAAATAGCCATACAACTTCCATATTTCTATTTTATAATATTAATTAAATGCAGCAAAAAAGTTAAGAAGGCTAATATTAAATGATTTAAGAGCAATAATCTAATTTCATTCAGTTTATCAAAAATCCGAACATCAGAGAGAGTGATGACAGAATCAATAATTACTTTGCAAAATGCTCAAAGAAATTAAAATTTGTGCTTATTTATTTCGAGAAGAATTGAAAGATATGAAATTTTCTTTGAGTAATTTTCCAGATCATTTCCTTGCAAGGAAGCAATTTTTGCAATCATTATATTTCAATTTGATCTTTCTCTTCTTAGAGTGCTCTACAGATCCTTTTCTGATGCCACATCAACAATCTTACCAAAACCGATTTTATTCCTAAAGCTTCTGATTTAGACTGACCGTTATAACCTGAATTTCCAGCAGGACCAGATTATCTTCAGGGCAACGATACACAATCCAATTATTTACCATCATTCCCATTACAGTAAGCAAATAACTGATACTGATCATATTCTCAAATTATTTTTCTTTCTCGAAGGTTCAAAACTTGCTTTTTCATACATCCTTCCGGATTCTCTATTGTTGATCTTCTATCAGCCGACCTAATCATCTTTCCCATCGCATTAAAACATCGCATAAACTGATCCTTTAGCTCCCATAGATATCGTCAATAACCATTTAATGTTGCATTCGATATGATTATTCCACAAAGAATTCTTGAAATGTTTATTTATTCATAAATTCCGAAATGATTCATATCAGATATTTTACTCCCTAGTATAAATGGAAAATTTCTCTTTAAAATTCGCTTTATTAAGTTTTAAGTTAACTTTTTAAACCTTACATATCCTTTAAACTTTTTAATTCCGACCTAACAGCTAAATTTTTTTAAAGGAATTATCTATTATAAATAAAAAATATGTTACATCTGTGAAAGATTTCTATTTTGAAGTGACCTTCTACAGAGATCTAAATGGCTTCTAAAGAGACCAAAAAATATTTTTGGGCATTTTTTTCCATGCCTGACAAAATTTAAACTAATTGTAAGTTTTAAAAGAAATTTTGAAAATTTTAGTCACTGTGCACAAAATCAATTTCGGATTACGAATGCATATTTTCGGTACTTATTGGTCATCTGCGCTGTTTTCATAGCCCAAGTAAGCCCCTCATAGCTTGTTTTTAAGAAAAAGATTATCTCTCACTGCAACCCGCAAAATACTGTAAATTTTATTTTCAGGTCATGCGGTCCACAGATGGGAGGCATAATGAGACCCGTAAGCCCACCGGGAATAGATGGACGCGATGGAAATCGAGGAATGGGGAGGAAGGAGACGTAGGAGTGATGAATGGAAGACGATAAAATTAGCAATGAATCAGTGCGAGATATCGAAAATTTTATCAGTATTATATAACAAAAAACTTTTCGAGATTTAATCGATTTTGACGTTAAACGAAAGAAGAAATAAAATATTCTTTCTCTTTGACTGTGCAAAGCATTGTTATAGTTAGGCAGAAATTGCACATTTGCTTGAAATTTCCGCCTTTCCTAAATGTTCAAAAGACTCATTCACACATAAGGAAGATTGATATTCACAACAGTTCAACTAATTTTAGGTACAAAAATCATTGAACTGAAAAAAGAATGAAAGAGTAAGGCAAAATAGGAGACTCTCCTTCATCCATTCAGTATTTGCCCCTTACTTATATACAATGACTTCAATTCATCCTCGGCAGACTATTTCACTTAAAATAAATAAATTTTATAACACGGATTTCTGCAATATAATTTTACTTTAACTATTTTAACTCTTTATATTACATAATTAATTTGGTTTTCCTATATGAACTGAATATTATTGCATTATAATTGTAAGTGTGAAATCAGAAAAATAAAATTGAAATTTAATCGCTTCCTTGCAAGGAAATGATCTGGAAAATTACTCAAAGAAAATTTTATATCTTTTAATTCTTCTCGAAATAAATAAGCACAAATTTTAATTTCTTTGAGCATTTTACAAAGTAATTATTGATTCTGTCATCACTCTCTCTGATGTTCGGATTTTTGATAAACTGAATGAAATTAGATTATTGCTCTTAAATCATTTAATATTAGCCTTAATAACTTTTTTGCTACATTTAATTAATATTATGAAATAGAAATATGGAACTGACAAAGTTGTATAGCTGTTTCAGCGTTCTTTCTTATTACATCGTATGAGTTCTGTTCCATTTTTTTAGATACCGTCCATTATCACTTGATGTTGCAATTTATTGCATTCGGTATGATCAATCAACAAAGAGTTTTTGAAATGTCTTTTGTTTTATGTATTTCGGAAAGATTCATATCAGGCATCCAAATTTTCAATATAAATAGAAAACTTCTCTGCGGAGTTTACTTCATAAAATTTCAATTTAAACTTTCACCTACAATGTCACAGTTTTTCAGGTGGAATTTTTATGTAATCAATTACTTTACTTGTTGCCAGAGCATTATAAATTTTTAAATGGAACATTAGATTCTGATCTATTAGCTATAATTTGCTCATGGATAAAGAAAAGATCCCGTCCTACAATAATTTTTTTGTGAACTTAAATATCTCGCCTGACATTTTTCGTTCATTTTTACAAATTTTGAAATGATCGAGAATGTGAGGGTTTGAAAATTTTCCAGCCATTATGCATATGTAATCGATTTCAGGTTATCAGTACCAAGCATCTTTTCAGTACTTTTCTATTGGTTATTTGCACTGTCATCGTAGTCGAAGTTCCCTAATATATTGTTTCGTGGTGAAGAAAGCATATTTTAAGGCAGCCTCCAAGTATGCATAAATTTTTTTTCAGAGATGCATTCCATTAAATGCACAACCAGGATTGCGAGGACCACCAGGCCTGCCAGGTAGGGACGGACGGAAAGGAGGTGAAGACGAACTAGGATTTCCTGGTGAAGGTCCTCAAGGAGAACCAAGAATGTCTGGAAGGCAAGGTGAACCGGGTGACAAAGGAATTCCAGGACTACCAGGACTTCGTGGCAATGAAGGTGATCAAGATTGGGAAGGAATGATGGTAGGATAAAAGTAACAAGCAATGGAATTTGTCTGAGATATCGAAGCGGTCCCTCTCAGTAATATCAGTTCTCACATTTGGTTGTTTTTATCTGCATCCAACTTGTCCTTGATGCGTCTTTCCCACTATGTCATAAATTTAACAGGTCTGAAATTATAACTTTAGCAGAATTTGCTAACAAATAGTAGAATATAAAATTTGAATTCCATGAAGCAAAACTTCGTCCATTCTTAAATTACAACCTCATTATTCTCCGACATTTTCAATTAATTTCGATAAATTTTCACAAATCAACATTTTTAATTTCTGAGCTCAATGAAACTTTTTTAAACACTTGTTTACATGAACGGTTTCAAACGACTTCACACTTTTCGGGTGAAATACAAATAAAGCCGTGTTTTTCTTGTCAATAGTTGAAAGAAAAATTGATAATGAAATTGATTTAAAATGTTATAATATAGTAAAAAATGATCATTAGAGAAGGAATAGATGATAAGTTATTATTGTCCATAAGTTTATTTCAATTAGAAGAAGAATGATTTCATTAAAAATAATGTAACAATAATAATTTCGAAGAGTAAATCGATGGAAATAAAAAACACATGGATTATGTCAGACTGATAATTGTTGAATAATTGTTAATATATGTTAGTTGATCACACGAATGATAATCAACTGGTCATTTCGTCACAAATTTATTGCAAATCAGAATGGAAAAAATCAGATGATTATTAGAAATAACGAGAGATTATTTAAGGATGAGAATAAGGATGAGAATTTGAATTTAATGAAATAATTGTCATTGCATCGTGGAGAAATATGCATTACAATTGTATTCTAACGAGTAAACAAACAAACAGATTGCATCATAACTTGCATTTTATAAAAAACAATAAGGCTCTTAAAACTTTTTGTATTGCAAAATATGAAGAAAAATATTTTGGGAATGTCATAATTATATATTGGCCTTTAATCTTCTGAAATATCTACCAGGTGGTAAGAGCACTGTATACACAATGGAGGCTTTTCGAAATTAATATGTTCTATGAATTCGAAAGATCCATGTCAGACATTCAACTTCCAATATAAACAATTATTTTTCGAATTTTGCTGAATTAAATTCCAATTTAAATTTCAAAATCTTTTCACACATATCCGACAATGTCATTTTCAAATAGAATTTATATATTCTAATCATTTGATTACAGTTCATTCATCATATTTCAAAAATGTTACGACTTTTAAATGAAATTTTTAAATTTCGCCTAACAGTTACGATTTTTTAAAGGAAATGTGTGCTATAAATAAGGAAAAGGTTTCATCTGCGAAAGGTTTCTATTTTGAAACGATCTTCTAAAGAGACTTAAAACCTCTTTTGACATTTTTTTCTTCCGCACCTCACAAAATTTAGACAAATTAAAAGTTTTATAGGAAATAAGGAAAATTTTAGCTACTGTGCATAAAACCAATTTCAGATTGTCAATGCATCTTTTCGGTACTTCCATATTAGTCATCTGCGCTGTTTTTTTCATTATAGTTGTGGAACAAATGGAATGGTGAAGTTTTACTTCAGGTGTTTCTGAAATTCTAAATTTTCACTAATTTCGTACAACGGATTCTACACATTTTTCTTCAATACGTAGCCTTCTGCAACTCATTGCTTCTCCTATCCAAAAAATTTAACTTATATTTCAATTGCAGTTACTTAGAGAAAAAATGATTAAAGTTGAACATTTCAAGGGATTCAAAAGTTTCTGAAGAATAACTAATTTATGATTAACTGACACTAACTGGACTTCCAACCACTTTTGTTTCTCGAAGGCTCAAAGCTTATTTTTCCTTCCATCTCCCGGATTCTCTGTCAACTGTAGATCTCCTATCAGTCAACCGAATCTTCCTCCCATTCACAAAAAGATCCATTTAGCTTTATAAATACCGTCATTAACCATTTAATGTTGCATTTTGTTGCATTCCACACGCCAATCAACAAAGATTTCTTGAATTGCTTCTTTGTTTTATAGATTCCGAAAAGATTCATATCAGACATCCAACTTTTTAATATAAATAAAATATTTCTCTTCGAAATTCTCTTCATCAAATTTTGTTTAAGTTTTAAAACCGTTTACCGATTCTCGACAGGAATTTCTTAAATTACGACTAGTAAATTACGATTTTTCTTAAGAAAGGAAATATTAACAAGTAAAAATGTGAACAGACTTTTCCTTCGCCGAACATTTTAAAAATAAAAATGAAAAAGAAATTTGAGAATTTGAAAAAAGAGTTGCGTTTTTTTAGATTCTCAGTACCAATGCATCTTTTCGGGACTTTCCTGCTGGTCATCTGCGCTGTTTTCATGATTCAAGTAAGTTCCGTATTTGATTGTTTTTAAATGAAGTCTTCAAACGTTTGTAAATTTTATTTTCAGGCTTGTGGTCCATTAACAGCACGTACAGGACCTCCAGGTCCTCCAGGCCCTCCAGGGCGAGATGGACGAAAGGGAAACCCTGGTGATCGAGGACAACGGGGACAAGAAGGAGAGGTAGGAGAAAGTGGACCAGTAGGAAAGCGTGGGATTCAAGGTCCTCCAGGTTTGCCAGGAGATGTAGGAGAGAAAGGGGAAAAAGGAAGAGTTGGACTCCAAGGTTTGCGAGGACCAAATGGCAGAAGATAGAATTAGCACGACAAGAAATATATCGGCGATGTTGAAATAGTCCCTGTCAGTAGTGTCGGCTTTCTTTGTTTTGTGTACAACAGCCTATCACATTTCGTAATCCTGAAATTATTGTCAATTTGCAAATTTGAATTACAAAAATTGAATTTTATGACTTCCGCTATATATAGCAGTATCATACTTAGGCAGAGATAGCACAATATTAATGATTAATATGTCAATACAACGTTTCCGAGCTAATACAAAAGCAAATTATAATAGAATCAATTTGTTTGTCTGTTCATTAAAACATAATTATAATACCAATTTCCGCACAACAGAATTATAATTACAATATCAGTCCTATGATCGATTTATAATTGATATTCCCTCGAAATTTTATAATTCATAATTTTATATTTATTTATATATGAAATTACAGACCTTTGAAATTGAAGTGTTATCGATATACCCTTGAAATTTTATTATAGTTTTTACGAATTCATTTCATTCGCTCTGAATCGAATGAAATGAATTTGTTCAGTCCTACCACTTCATTTTCACATATTCCTTTTTTGTTTCGCTTCTTCTCTCTGTTGGCCCTTTTTCTCTCTGGTATTTAGCATCCGTCTTTTAATGGCCTTAGTTCTTCCTCAGACACTGTTTTACTTGAAGTAAACTCTGAGGCCAATATTACTGACCATTATTTATTCCTCTTCTGATGTCCCTCCTTTAATTAATCACTCTATTTCAAATCAATTTATGCGAACTGCATATTATCTTGGATCGATTCTAAATCACTTCTAAAATATTTCTTGGTTTTGTAAATTGCGGAATGATTCATACCAGGTATTCTATTCCCTGATATAAATGAAAAGTTTCTTATGAAAATGTGTTTCATTTAACTTCATTTAAATCTTTAGGTCTAAAGACTCTCATTCATATTAAGTGACTTTTCTTTATTGCACCAAACTAATGCACCTTTTCGGTACTTTCCTATTGATCAATTGCGCTGTTTTCATGGCGCAAGTAAATTCCCCAATGAAATTGCTTCTAGGTTAAAGATTATGTCCCATTTATGCCCCTTGTTAAGTGGGAGATCAAGATGACGTAGGTGATCAAGGACTTCGGGATTAAGAGGAATGGCTGGGTAGTAGGATTAACGATAATAACGAAGCACTCCCTCCCGGTAATATCATCAGTTCTCTTATTTACGTTGCATTTGTTTTGCACCAACGTGTTGAACTCAATGAAATTTCTGTAATTCTTCAAATGCATGTTTTAGTGTGCAACGCTTAAACTCCCAGACGATTCGAATTCATGAATTTAAATATTTAAGATTTAAAGCAGATTTAAATATTTAAGAATTTTGCTTTGTTTTTCTCTTCTAATAATGGAAGAGTTCCGGATTATTTCTTACATTTGCAAATGTACGAAATAATCCGGAACAACTGAAAAGTACTTTTAAAATGTCCGAAGTGATTTGGAATCGATTCAAGATTGTGTGCAATTCGCATAAATTCATTTGAAATAATTTGATTAATAAAAGGAGGGACACTGCAAGAGGAATAAATAATGGTCAGTAATATTGGCCCTAGAGTTTACTTCAAATAAAACAATATTTGAGGAAGAATTGAGGCCATTGAAAGACGGATGTTAAATGAAAGAGAGAAGAAGGGCCAATTAAATGAATTGAAATAAAAAAGAATATGTGAAAATGAAGTCGAAGGAATGACTGATCGAATGAAATGAATTCGTTAAAACTATAATAAATTTTAAAGAGACAACACAATTTAAAAGCAATGAATGATTGCCAAATGATGACAGATGCTATTTAAGAAAAGGCAGGAGATTCCTTATAATAAGAATAAAAAATTAAATTTATTGAGTATAATATAATTCAAACTGACATTGGTATTATAATTATATTTCAAATGAACAAACAAACAAATTCGTTGCATTATAATTTGCTTTCGGCTAACAGAAACGTTGTGGTAAAATATTAACTATTAATATTATGCAATTTTTAGCTGATTATAATACTACTGCACATAATGGAGGCATAATATTTTATTTTGAAGCCAATCAAATTTCGAGTTTTTTATCATACAAATTTGATAATAACATTGTGATTCGAAAGTATACAAAACTTTGCTTGATAAAATTCATTTTTTTTGATCCAACATTTGTAAACATATTTTGCAAAGACATTGACGACAGCAATTGCATAAAACAACCGAAACAAAGAAAGCCGATATTACTGACAGTGACAATTTCAATATATCCGGTACATTTCTTGGCCTGTTAATTCTACCCTCCTGCATTTGCTCCTCTCATACCTTGCATTCCAACTCTTCCTTTCTCCCCTCGTTTTCCTACATCTCCTTCCACCCCTGGCATACCGTTACTCCCAGGCACTCCAGGCGGGCCTTGAACTCCTTGTGGTCCTTCAGTTCCTGGTTCACCGCGCCCACCTGGATCTCCCTTCAAACCTGTTCGTCCTGGTAAACCTGGCGGTCCTGGTAATCCTGGGGCGTTTGATGGAATGCAAGTCTGAAATAAAATTTACACGCACACGGAAGGCTGCCTAAAAATGTGCTCTTTTTCACCACAAAACAATATATTAGGGAACTTACTTCGACTACGATAACGGCGAAAATAACCAATAGGGAAGTACTGAAAAGATGCATTGGTATTGATAACCTGAAATTGATTATATATACATAACGGCTGAAAAATTTTGAAATCCTCACATTCTCGGTCATTTCAAAATTTGTAAAAAATGAAGCAAGATATTTAAGTCCTTTTAGAAAATGGTTTCACGAAAAAAATTTTTGTAGAATGAGATCTTTTCCTTATTTATAAGCAAATCATAGCTAATAGATCAGAATTTAATGTCCCATTTAAATAATTGTAATACTTTTGAAACTTGTGAGACAGCAAGTAATTGATTGACATGAAAATTCTACCTAAAACTGTGACAATGTAGGATTGAAATTTAATGAAGCAAATTCCGCAGAAAAGTTTTCTGTTTATATTGGAAATTTGGATGCCTGATATGAATCTTTCCCAAATACATAAAACAAAGAGCATTTCAAGAACCCTTTGTTGAATTCTACTAGCAAAAGGGATTTCAATTTGCTTCTCATAAATTATTTTTATAACATATTATTTGTGTATTTATATGTTTATTTATTTATTATAACTTATTTTATATTTATTTATATTTTTGTTACATAATTATATTTATA